GACGAGATGATGCGCGAAGTAATATTTAGCGCCAAGTCTGCATACACTTTGCTGTAGAGAGGCGTGGGCTGGTCCCATGCCGTAGGGTCCCCAGACTTTCCCGAGAAGGCGATTGCTGGAATTTGACGATCATGGGCTGCGAACACTGCTGCACCAACTGTACCGCTGAAAGGAACTTGGATGCCGATATTGGAGCCTACGTTCGGACCTGTTGTGGCAAGCTCGGCCTTGCCGCCATTCCATATCTTCGGTCCTGTCGTGTCGATGCCCGTCTTGATGCTGGTCACCGGGAAAGAGTTGACATAGTTCAAGCGTGGATTAGTCGCATTTGCGCCTGTTGGGGGACTTCCACTTGGGCAACTAGAGAATTCGCAACCATCTGAGTCTACAGTTGTGGGTGCTGCATCACTGGAACCTGCGTATTGTTAGCAGTCAGGCAAACAGCTGGGCGATTGAGACGGACTGGTTCCTGATTGGTTCTCAGCTGGCCCAGAGAGTACAACATCATGACCGGCTTTGCTCAAGGTGTCGAAGAATGTCCGAATGTTTATTTCAGCCCAGCCATCGTCATTGGACTGGACGATGCGAATCGCTTGCGTGAAAGGCAGAATGGCGAGTAAGAGCTGGGACCGCATATTGATGGAACGAAAGTGGGTTTCAACCGAAATTACACCTTGACGACTTTCGCAAGGTCTTGAAGCGATAGAAAAGAGGTTGATTATCACCTGAAGATCATGGTGTGAAAGGGAAAGGCCTCGAGGTATATACTAGCCGCAGGCATCTCCGCCAGGGTTTGCCTCCCCGCACGCGCAAAGCGCTAAACAGCGACAAGGCATGGCGACGTTACGATATTCAGCAGAACGTGCTCCGCATCGCGATGTGATTGACGTTCAGCATAAATTGAAGTGGCTGTGGGAGGCAACATCTCCGCAAGCTATTCGCTGTGACCTCGGTGGCAGAGACACTCTTGGCAGGGGCTCAAACCTCATCGGGAAGGCGCTAAGCCAGCTTCAAAACGTGCCGAAACAGTAGGGCGGAGTGTCTTGAAGAGCTATCACGAACGCCGGAGTGTGGTATTTACTCAGCCTTAGAGTCGCATAAAGTTGACGGCCTTCTGAAATCGTCCTTTGTCCGTTCCGAACGCGCATGCTGAAGACACTTCTGCTTGCTTGACCCTTCGATTGGAGCCAATCTCACCAACGCGAAGACCGCCACGTTAATGTCACCAATTTCATTGCTCCGATTTCAGATGTGAATGCTGAGACTACGATGATGGTTGACGGAGACCGAGGTTCCACACGCCTACTCAACATGGCTTGGTTGTGTTCATGTAGGTATTCACCTACCCCGTGAGCTATGAATTGAAAAAGTTTAGAGTTTCTTAGCCCTGGGAATCACCTGGAAGAAGGAGGACTATTCCTGATCGATGTCAATTATGCCATCTGGCATTACCCTCGTGCACTTTAACTTTAAATAAGATAGAATTTCTAAGGTATACCTATCTTTCCATCAAGCAAGCGCTGACAGGACCATGGACGAGTTGGTGATGAAGCCATCAACTGCACGAGTTAGCTTTCGAACATCTAAATTCGAGCGAGTGGTAATGACTTACGATTTGCGTTATATCTGACCATATCCGTCGCAGCTCGTGGACTCGTCGTCGCTGAAATATCATCGACGTAGACTACATCGTAACCCTTGTAGTACGCATCCAGCAATGTTCCCCAAACGCACTGGTCCGCATTCACACCACCAAAGAAGAGCGTCGTAATCTGGTTCTCCTGCAGATATATTTCGAGAGGGGTCTTAGGTCCCCAGAGTCCACTCAGACGGTTCTTGTTGAAGTAGAAGTCGGTTCCATTCGCGACGCCCTCGACCTGAGCATCGTACAGTGGGCCGTAAGGTCGCGCGTTCCAGCTTCCTCTCATCAACAATCGGCCGGCATCAGTCCCGTTCACGAGACCCATCTCGCTGCCGAAAGTGGTCAACGGTGAGTTGTCTGATGAGAAGCCAGCAAGAAACGAGGGCGGTATGGTCAAGAGGTCGTACTCGTCCAAGCCCCAGTTTGTCCAGAGCACTGGCATGCCATTCTTTCTGAACCCATCGATCATGTTTAGTGTAGGTTGGACTGCGGTTCTTCCTCCAGTTGCCTTTGAGTTGAGGTCCGGATGCAGGAAAAAGTTCTGCATATCGATGATGACGAGTGCTGAGCGTGACGGTTCGATGACAGCAGCCTTCCGCGATCCGTTCATAGGTATCGTAACAGGACTGGTGGTGGGAAGATACAGAGACCGTGTCAGATCAACCGTTTTATTAGGCAAAGATATCCAATAGTTGTAAATGTTTCCAAGGATGGTCGTATTCCCAGATGGTAAAGTCAGGTTTCCGTATGCTTGAATGAGCGTCTGCGCTTGCGCCATTGTGGCAAGCGAGAGGAGAGAGCTGAAGAGCATCATCTTGACGGGCGTTTTATGACGATAATTGCGAATGTCGAGGCGTGCACAGATTGCGAAGGTATTCAAACGTGCTGCACCTACGCAGGGCTCACGATACTTATATGAAGACCGTATCTTGCACGATGACTTCTACGGATTATAAATACGAGTTTCTCCATGTCTTTTTTTCACAATCGCGTCCCGTCAGGTACTTGCCCATCGCAGAATATTTCGTCAACACCTGCTAGGTCGTTGAAGGGTATCCTAGATCAACATCTAAATACCTCGATTAGGAAGGTCGTTATGCAGCATCTTCATGATAAGAGGCAAAGTGCCGGGGTGGAGTATCGGTAGGAACTTTTCCGGCATGCAGAACCGCGGAACGGCGTGGATTAGATGCGGAGTAAGGCGGCGCTGTAAGGGTGCCTACCAAGCCGCCGGATAGGGCGATATTGGCATTGAGACTTGGCCGAAAGACCTACTTCCGAGGGCATTCCGAGAGTTCCGAACTTCTCGTTCGGTATGATGCATGCATTATGAGTCTATGAGTAGTCTATGCAGATAGTTGGCCTCCCAGAAGATGTAGCAGAATGGTCGAGTAGTGTTGCACGAAGACACTCGACTATGCAATGACAGCATTTGCTTCGTTCTCCCGTTTTTCCTCCGCCTTCGCTCCGAAGCTCCCCGATTTCTTGTGAATGCTTGCGAGTGCAGTCTTGATCTCGTCCAGGAAGCGATCTACTTCCTTCTGGGTGCCCACTGTGATCCTCAAGCACCCTAAGCAACCGTACTCCTTGCCTCGAAATCGTACTACGACACCTCTATCCTCCGCCAGAGCCTCGTACACGCCCAATGCTGTCTCATTCGATGGCTTGCCACCTTTGTCGGCGGGGGCATCGAGCATCTCAACAAGTAAAAAGTTCGACTCTGCACCACCGAGAAACCGGCCCACACCTAGTATCTTAGGCAGCTCTCCTAACAGCCTGTCTCTTTGCCGTAGAATCAGTTCTCTGTTCTTGTGCATGACTTGCAAATGCTTCGGGCTGAGAGCTGCACGCGCGAGCTGGCTCGTCGGGTTCGAGATGTTGTAAGGTGCTTTTAACGAGTTGAGGAGTCGTGCGATTGCAGGGTCCGTAAACGCAGCGCCTAACCGTATGCCCGCGAGACCAAATGCCTTCGACAGCGTCTGCATAACCACCAGGTTCGGCCATTCTGTGACCCATTCCGCAAGACTTGACCCGTCGGGCGCGAAATCTATGTACGCCTCATCCAGTATGACGACACCATTCCATGAGGGGTGTTCCAAAATCTTCTGTACGTCCTCTTTCTTCAGCAGACTCCCTGTTGGATTTCCAGGCGAGCATAGATATGCCAGCTTTATGTTCTGTTCTTTCGAAAGTGCGTCCGCTATCGCAGGTACGTCCAATCCAAAGCCATCTTTCAGCAGCGGCACCTTCACCAATGCGACATCGTTGACCTGCGCTGAGACGCTGTACATTCCATACGTAGGCGGACATACGAGGATTTTGTCTTTTCCTGGGACGCAGAAGGCTCGAAGGAGGGCATCGATCGCTTCGTCTGAGCCGACGCCAACGAAGAGGTGGTCTGGTGTGAGGGTCTTGGAGGTGTGGACGTGAGTGTTTCGGAGGTTGCAAAGGTCTTGTTTGAGATCTAGCTGGTGGCTACAGATATCAGTATCGCTTATAGGGTTGGATTCCCTGCGAAGTAAAGGTGCGCGTACGGATCAGGGTATCGATTCAGTCCGAGCAAATCCACGTCAATCACGGGCGCCGAGCTTGATGAGCCATTCGCGGTGACGTTCTTGAGCTTGCCATCATCGCTAAGTGCCAATCCAGGACCGTATGCGTTCTCGTTCGCGTCAAGGAGGATGTTGGTGCCGTCGTCTTTGTAGTCACTAGCTGTCATCAACCATGATTCAGGTCGCTAAAAATTGCAATTGAGCGCCACTTACTCGCGCGCACACCGGTATGGCTCCAGCGCCAAGATGTTCGGCCTTGCGCACTTCGACAGATCGAACGGCGACCTTCTTGAAGCCATGTTGAGGGTGCGAGGAAGTGAATGGGGTTTCAGAGTGTCAAGATGGGAGCGCGGGGACATTTTTGTTTCGCGGGGCGGCGCGTCCAGCGATGTCGGGAACGAGTCATCGCGCAGCGACCTTTACCTCTTCAGGAAGACAATGAACAACTTCTTCCATGACTCTTCCAGCTGTAGATGTTGTGATGATTTAAGCGTCTTGGGTAAATGATTTTCGTGATGAAGCCGGGAGGTTGGTATGTCGCGAGCATTATAATCGATGTTCGTTGACACCTCAGGCATCCCACCCCCCAGTTCGACAGTTCTCCACAGCACATTGATAGAATCACTAGATAATGTAAACACATCATATTCTAATGCACATCACGCAGCTATTCAATTTCTATTCAAAAATATCGCGATTTACGCTAGAATTACCGCAGTCCTTGCACTTTCACTCTTTTACCCTTACTGAGCAAAAACAACGCCTTTTTACGATCAGAAGAGGTCGTAGAGAGGCCAAAAAAGTGCTTCCGACACCGGGAATCGAACCCGGGCCTTGCCGGCGCTACAGGAGCGAACTGCTCTTTGATGAGAGCGGCAAATCCTAGCCACTTGGCGGATGTTAGCACTGAGTTATACCAATGTATATATTGAGTGAACTCACCTAGACCATATCGGATATTGTTATTTTATACACAAACTTGTAACTATAAGAAATATATCCATATGTTTATTGACGAGAAAAGGAAGGGCGTCGAAGGATGGGTCGCGGCGCGGTGTGTGAATGATTTCGCATGGTGGGGCGACACAGCACCTTTCAGTGCCCCTCTGTCGCTTAATGACCCTATCAAAGGCGACGATGAGCTAGAAATATCAAGCCAATCGTTGGTTACCTTGGTTTATTTCGTGGGAACGAAGTGTTAACACCATTTCGAAACGAAACATCATCCTCGCATTAAGACCTTCATTCCATCATCACGCAGCGTAAGACAGGATTTCTCCGCATCCATCCATCGACCGATTCCTTAAAGTCTGCCCCAGGCGCTTCATCGCAAGGTTCCTGCCGCGTGCACAGCCTTTCGATCTCACCCCCACCCTTTACAATCGAGATAATGCCGCCAGGCTTCTCGGAAGCAGCGGAGAAACTACGCGCTGTGGCTTAATGAACTATTGAAATTGTACATATGGAACATACGACGAATTACAATCGAAAAGCAATTGCGTTATGTGCGGCTGGTGCTTTCAAGGGAAAGAGATGGGGCGAAGCACAACTATCGAGCTGCGATATACGAGAAGCAATTCTGCAGTCTGAGCCGAACGGTGATGCGATTATCGATTGGGGCCTAAATGCGGAACTACCAGAGCCTTGAGCATATCTGGGTTGCGATCATCTCTGGACATCTCAACACATCCCTAGAGTTAGTGAATTCGACAGTCCGTTACGAGCATCGCGAGAAGAAACTTTATAAGAAGGGAACTAGACCGCCTATCTTTTTGTATAATTCTAAGTCGTCTGCTGAAGTCTGAATAGCTGAAAAGCCGCAAATTTTTAGTTCCTACTGAAAAAGCTTGTGATATCCTCTAATAATGAGATTACAGAAACCGAACGAGTTCAAATATGGGACCGAGTTCAAAGAATGCTCCCGCAGAAACGGTATAATGTTACTTTGACTAAAAGGAAGCTTGGAACCTCGACGCTTAGACAGCCACTATCTGCGAAAATTGTTGCGATAAGAGAAACTGAGAAAAAGGCCTACGATTAAATTGCTTGATACTGTAGTTTCTGAACGGATACAAGGCGTCGTGATATTGTTGAAGAGAGCCACGGCGAAACCGAATTAGAACCAAGAGAGGATCTAGTCGAGTATCAGGATTGGATCTAAGTCAATAATGAACAAGATTGTCCGAAGAAGTCATCGCCATATGTTCCTACCTGGATTCTACAGACAGGCCAGAAGCCATAATTAAATCGATTCCATCAACACAGACAACAGAGCTCAGCTGCGAACTAAGAAGGCGGTACTTGAGACCATATCAACCTCAGCCATGACCTGCACAAACATCTCTGTGTATGTAACAACAGGTTGTAATATTGCAGAGAGAACACCCACTATCTTCTTTCTAGTATAGTCGTTAGGATATCGTAGAAACTTGTACGCATCCTTCGTTGCGTTTGAGACTGCGAGATCTGGAGGAAATAAGACGCGAGCGAGGAAGTTGAAAAACGAATTGGAAGTAGACGGAAGATCGCCGGAAACAGTTGGTTCTAAAGGGGTGAGCGATGCCAGGTCTCCCTAGAGTATATCGTTAGCCATCTAAGTTCTCTTGATGAGAGAAGTAATAAATTGTTACCTTGGCCAAATGCGTGGCCCAGACTTCAGACAAAACATTCTTCGAACCAGTATACTAGCGTTCAAATATCTTGCAGATTTCGCTCACCAGTGCTTGTTCGAGCTTCCTGAAAGACTTAAGGGGCACGGGTTCATGCAAGTCCGTCACCAGCAGTACCCTACTAGGTGCTTCAGAAGCACTTCAACAGGTAACATATAGCCAATCCAAGCTTCGTTACGGGATTGGAGGCACTTCAGCGTCACGAATCCGGGGAGTGAATATTCCAAATGCGCCAGTACCAAATCGACGTCCTCAACATTAGCATTCGTACCCGGCAGCTGTTTGACGAGGAGGGGAATATTTTAGCTCCAGACTACTAAGTACTGCTCTACGGAAGCAACTCAACAGGTAACAAGTAGCCAATTGGGCCCTTGTTGGGAGACCGAATGCCCTTCTAGGTCACCGATTCGAGGAATACAGCAATGTCCCTAACAGTCGGCATAGATGCTAGAACCTCAAGAATCCCCGAATATCGAGCCTGCATAGTACTCTTTAGTATCTAATCTTAGTATTAAGGCTATAGCAGATCTTCCAAAGAGTTTAGATTATAGCGTATAGAAGCTAGAGGCTAAAAGGTTAGGATATCATAATATTTAGAGTCCTAGCTTTATAAAATACTCTAAAGAGAGTAAGGGAGTTACTCTAGCTAATATAAAATTAATATACGTTACCTATTTTTCTCTTTAGATAACTTAAGAGACTAGTAAAAAAAGTTTTATAGTAGATGTTAGTAAGATAACTAAGATTATGTTTATAGTTATACTTAATCTAAGGAATAATTAGGACGTCCTATTGGTCACCTTGTTGCTATCGAAGCATATGAGACCGAAAAATCCAAAGGGTAAAAATATTATCTCTTGGCCAGCGAAAAGATACACAACCGAGGAGATCGAGAGCCTAGATGAAAAGGCAATTGCTGCTTTTGCTTGGGCATGTAAAAGCGACCACACTACGAATTTGGTGCCGGCTTCAACGTCTATAGTCCAGGAGCCGATCCTTATGTCTTGTGTGCGATACCCAGCGGATATCTTCGCGAGGCGATCTGAAGAAGAAGAATCACTAAAGGAGAAGCTGCAAGTGAAGGTTCAAGATTTCAAGCTTCAAGACGATCACTATATCTTCCAAATTCAGGTTAGAGCTTACATTGACGGCGACTGTATCAAGCTCTCTGAACCTTGGCATGTGGCGTACACCCGTGGTGACAATAAGAGGGTGTCAATCAAAATTCCACAGAGCACTGGAGGTTTCTCTTTCTCTAGAAAGGTCGTAGGCACATGTAGTCAGCCTTGACTAAACATGTGCAAAAGTACGCAGAAGTACTTTAAAATATAAGATATCTGCAACATGAGCGATGGACTGATGTGTAAGCCACTTCAGGTCTCTTTATCCAGAGTCTATAGACAAAGTTCGCGATCATCACAAGCGCGGGGTGGCCAGCAAGGACAACATTACATTACGGCTCCTGAATTCCTTCACTTCCCTGACAATCCGCCTATCCAAGCAGTTCTAAGAAGTTGAAGTGCTTCAAAATTTCGAAGAGTATTTACCACTGCCAGACGTCGCATAATCAGGAACCTTGCGCGAAGATGCGCCACCCAGCTTTGAAGCGCCTTTCAGATACGTATCATTCTTTACCTATCACTGTCGACGATCATTTCTATACCGATTCTTCGATGTTACTGAAACCTGTCCTAATAGGCGATGTATATCGTGCGAGTAATCTCCGCTAGACCAACACGCACGGGTTATAACAAAAGTCGCGCGAGATTCGCACGGTCAAAACAAAAGTCGTGTGAAATTCGTACGGTTCATAGTAAAAGTCGCGCGAGATATACACTTCAACTTTATACTTCATCCGAACTTGTTTAGCAGGCTGAGGTTTAGGTCGTATAGATTGCTTAGGGTTAAGGTAAGCAGAAGGTGAAGCCAACAGGACTGTCTATATATTATTACAGGCCTAAACATGTGCAATAAACGAGGACCTTTCCACTTGTATTCATATGTGTTATCGGCAGGAATATCGAAAACGTGGCTGATTCGATATTCCTATATCCTACCACGGCTGCCGTCAGGACCATCGCGGACCACATCCCACAACCACGTGTATAGAACAACGCTGAAGACACGGTTGTGTCTAAGTGATATTTGAACCATATGATGAAACCCACGCGCCTCGCAACCGCTCGATGATAAGCTTTCTGCTCCGCGTAACGCAAATCAACAGAGATGTTACTTATACAACACTTTTTTTTATTTCTAGCACTCTTACAGATCAGCCATGCGAGATCTTACTGGGTCCACCAAAGCTGCAAATTGCACCCAAACTTCACACCCTCGGTCCAGTGGGCACAGGAAATGGCGAAGCTGGCCACAAACCGTATGGCCTCGGCCACAGACACGGATTTCCGTAACATTATGAAGGTGATATTCAAGATAAAACCAACAGATACCGATTTCATCGCAAACTCTACTGAGATCCAACAACGGTTTTACCAGATCCAAATCCTAACGGAAACAAATGACCACAAGGCATCGGATATAAGGTTCTACTGTGACGAAGATCAATGTGCGTTTTACCATTCATTCAGATCGCACGTAAGGCCATTGAGAGCTGACTGAAGGCAGTCTTCGATCCAAAAAGCCCCAAAGTCAATGAAGGGGCTCGATGGCAAAGGCTATCCGATAGAATGTGGGACAAGGAAAAGTACGTTGAGTGATTCCTAAGCTACCGTTTCCTAATTAGAGTTTTTAGTATGATTGTGGGTTCTCTGACCACCTTTGGTTGCTCGTACACCGATGAGAATGGAGATCGAAAAGGCGGCGCAACCGTAAGAATTTCCTGCACTCCGTCTTGTAGTTGTGTCCAAACGCTAAACGTCCTTGACAGTATACTACCAAAGACACACGGGATAAAACCCAAAACCCAAACAGAATCACAATTACTGTAAGTTTGCCCGGCAACTCGTATACCTTTCGCTAACGCCTTGCGCAGATGTGCAAATATGCCCTCGACGGCGGAGTTGCTCCTCTCCCTTCCGAGCCGCGAAAGTTCCCGGTTGTCTATCAGACCGAGCTCTCGACTCGGAACTGGGCAATCGGATACTCGATCCAGAACTTCGCGGTATTTCTTCCGGCAACTATCGTCCACGAGCTGATCCATGCAGTATCGTATGGTTACGTGCTCGATGTACCAGTCGGCAATTGCTATGGTTGGAAAAACGTTCGAAAAGCATCTA